CCCCCCCCCCAACAAAGGAGCTACTATTCTAGGTCAGGTCCAGGGTTGAGGTCAGTCTGGAGAGGGGAGGGCCTCCCTGGGGAGGGGCGGGGGGAGCTGAGCTTCGGAATCAGGAAACAGGCTTTACCCTCCAAGAAGGGCTGGATGGTGTGGTGCAGAGATGGACTGATTTTCTCAACAGACTCTCACCAGATTACAACCCAGCCCCAAATTCCAAGACCAGGAAGCTAGGCTTGCCAACTTTAGGAATGTCACAGCTTCTCTTTCTTTCTGCCTGACCTGCTTTCCCCTGATGACACTATGCTGGGAATATTGGGAGGTGGGGGTGAGGATGGAAGGGTAGACGGTTGCTCATTCAACGGATTCCACTATGAATATGGTATGCTGGGCCTGGATCCCATTGCAGTCGACACAAGAGTAGTTAAGGAGGCTCAAAGAGACTCATTGTGCTGAGTTAGGCTCCGTGACAACTTCAGCCTCTGGCTGACTACCTTTTCCTGCATCGCACCCCACCCCCACTTTAGCTCTACCTCCCCTACTGTCAGCAGCAAGGAAGAAACTGTAAGCGGCTGGCTCTGGGGAGGTATGTACTTCCGCAAACAATCCACCACCCTAAACCAGGGAGGAAGGGCAGAACCCAGGCCTGGGAGACGGAGGCTGGCAGGGGTCTCCAAGTCAGGCTTATTTGAAGGGCTGGGGAATTGGTGAGCATAAGGGCACGAAAGCTTTCCCGAGTCTGGACCTAGCCGGAAGGTGGAAGAACTTGTAGACTTCCCTCTCAAGCTGCCTGGGGAAGGGTTCTCTGGATTCTGAGTTAGGGGAGCGTCTAGATTGACTCCTGCTTCCTGACCTGCCGTGTAACCTTTAGCAGACACACTTCACCTTCAGGGAGAGTTTCCTAGCCCACCAAGCGGTAATTCATAAACCCATCCTCATGAACCTCCCAAGAACGCAAACAGGAGAAGGAGGAGAAAGGGGCAGGGAGGGTTCTGGGTCCCCCTTCCATTCCATCTTCTTCCGCCCGGGGTCCCGGCGCATTCCTCCTCCAGCCCTAGGTTTGCCCGGGGCCCCCAGTGCTCAGCTGGAAGATGTGCCCCTTCCGTCTAGGCAAGAGCCAGAGGACTCGGAGGAGCACCCCGGGAGAGCGCCTACGTCTCAGTCTAGCACTGTCTCGCCGGAAGGCAGGCGGGTCCGCGGGGCACCGGCGCAGGCAGGCGGGCCGGTCGCCGCGGGGGGGGGGGGGGGGGGGGGGGGGGGGGGTGCGTAACGGCCGCGTCCGCAGTACCCGCCGCCGCGTGGCCGCCCACATCCCGCTGCTCACCATCTGCTCGGACGCTGGAGCCGAGATCTGCCCCGAGAGCTTGGCCGCCCCCGTGAGCGCGAAGAAGCCACCCAGCAGGACGCGCAGAGCGGCGAGCCCGAGCGCCATGGCCGCGCAGGTCCTCCGGGAGGGAAGGAAAGGGAAAGGAAAGGAAGGGGAGGAGAGGAGAGGCCCTGCCGAACCCTCCCCCTGCCGCCCGCTCGGTTCCTCCCTCCCCAGGGCCACCAGAAGACCCGCGCCAGAACCTCCCGCTCCCCGCCCCCCACCCCGAGGCTGTTGCCACCCTCTTTTCTGGCCCCCACCTGTTGCGAGGGGAGACGGCCTTCGGGAGGGGCATCCCCATCTCTCAGATGGGGGCACTGAAGCCCAGTGGCTCAAATGACCGCACGAGCCCCTTTGAATTCAAGGGGCATCTCTTGTCTCCCAACCAGTATGACTGAGTAGAGTCAGACTCCAGGAGTAACCATCTACACGTGCCTCGCAGAAGACCGGGGTTTCCTTCCAGCCTGAGCCACCCTAGCTTTGGGATCTGAGCTGCCACCTAACCTCTTCGGGCCTCACTATTTGCATCTGTAAAAGCGATTAAGCCTGTTCTCCTTAGGAACAGGCCTAGCACAATGTCTGGCACCTGTAAGAGCTCAAACGTTATTTGTAAATTAGTAAATTATGAAATCATTAATAATAAGTCGGTAGCAAGTAATTATAAATTGCTTTCTTTGTGTAAAATATATTTTTCCTCCAATTCCTCTCAGTTGAAATTAAAATATGAAAAGTGTTTGAAAATTCAGACACTTGCAGCATAGGTAAGAGAGACTTCCACTAACAAAACCCTACAGGCCACTCGTGGTCCATCTGCTATAACCTGGAAATCAGTCTAGACCTTGATAGACAAACTGTGGGCCAAATTTAGTCAGCGGTTTTTTCCCACTGGTTCCCCCTTCTTCCTCCCCAGCTAACAATGTTTTACATTTTTTAATGATAAAAAAAATTTTAAGGCAGCTTTCATGACACATGAAAATTATATGAAATTCTTAGTTCAATGTTCATAAAGTTTTATTGAAACACAGCCACACTCATTTGTCTGTGTATTGCCTACAGCTGCTTTTGTGCTGCAAACCCAAAATTGACTAGTTGCCACCACATGGCCTGCAAAACCTAAAGTATTCACTATCTGGCCTTTTATGGGAAAAGTTTGCCAAACCCTGGTCTAGAGCGCCACAGAAACCCCTACTCTCCTGCAGCTTCTATTTCTGATCAGCCAAGCTGCTTAGATCTTTGTTTTCTACGTACCCACAACCTGCTGGGGTGGGTGGCTGCCTGGCTGAAGACTGCAATGTCCCATGTGCTTCTAAAGGCCAAGCAGATTAACATCCAGGTGTGCTGATACATTACAAACAGGCTTTTTGTGACCATTTTTGTCCCTAATCCAGATGATCCAATCAATCAATCAAATAGCTAAATTCTCTGCCTTGGACTATTAAAATTATAATATATAACTAGGTATAAATGCACAATTATTCCTCAACAAAAAGAAAAATTATTAAAACATATAATCACTGAAAACACATATCCACATTAGGAAATTATATTTTAGGATATTTATACAAAATTTAACACAAAATTATAGACTTTGATCATTAGCAATACCCATCTTACTATTCTTTCTCCTTTACTAATTTTTCTATCCTTGGAATTAAAGATGTGACTGCAAGTCTTAGAGCAGGACCAGAAACCAACAGATTTCTTTGTCTTGACTCAGTCAAAGCGGAAAATGTAGCATCACATAAATAAACAGTTGAAAAGGGCAATAAAAACTTCATTGCCTTTTCATGGAGTTCTGGGTAATTTGTCTTTGCATTTATCCAAAACTGAGTCACAGACATTGATTTAAATACTGACTGTAATTCCAAATCTGAAGATAGCTGTACTAGTTTTTCTTCTTCGAAGTCCATGAGATTACTATCTTTGGAATTCATAAAAGGATTAATTATCCACAAATTTCCTGAACGCAAGTCTTCTTCTGGTGGGTAACAGTCATTGAACATTTGACAAAGTCCTTCCAGGTGCTCAAAAATAATGCTTGCAATGCTTCTCATATTTAAGTCTGATGAGTTTACGAATTCGGAAAATGAAGGGAACATGTCATAATCATTCTCTTGTGTGCGCTTCAACCACATTTTTAACTTTTCCTTAAGTATATCCATTTTATTATACAAATTGAAGAGAGTAGTCATAGTTCCTCGGAGACTTAAGTTGAGTTCATTTATAAGTGAAAAAATATCTGATAAATAGGCCAGCTTTGCAACCCATTCTTCATCAAGAAAATACTTGGCCAAATCTGAATGCTTCTGGTTTAAAAAAATTTCAATTTCATGTCGTAGTTCAAATAATCTTGTTAAAATTCTCCCTCTCGAAATCCAACGTACTTCAGCATGAAGGGGTAGATTCACATGCTCAGGCCCCATTTCTTCACACAAAATCGTTAACATTCGTGAATTTGATGCATTGCTCTTTATAAAACTTAAAATTTGTGCTGACTGCAAAAGAATTTTATGTAAGCATGGAGACAACTTTTCTGCTGCTAAATGCTCACGGTGAATAAAACAGTGTGTAAATGCCACTGTATTCGTGGCGATTTCTTGAATCTTTGCCCTTAAACCAGAACACCTGCCAGTCATGCTTGCAGCCCCATCTGTACAGAGACCAACACAGTGTTTCCAATTCAGAGACTTACTATCAATATATTTATTTATTAGTTCAAATATTTCAAAACCAGTTATTTGAGAAGGCATTTCAATGCAACATAGTAATTCTTCTTTTATATCACTGCAATCATAATCAATGAAACGAATATAGCACAAAAGAAGGGTGATATTTGAGATTTCTGATGATTCATCTACCTGAAGGGCAAACCACTTTGACTTTCTGACTTTTTGAATCAGCTGATCTTCAATGTCTGCAGACAACTCATCAATCCTGTGTCCAATCGTGTTATTAGAAAGAGGAATGGTTTTCATTTTGTCTCCAGCACTTGAACCCAAAACTTCTGAACACATTTCCACTAAATATGGTTTAATTAATTCTTCGGCAATGGAGAATGGCTTCTTGCTGGCAGCAATTTGGAAAGCAATTAAATAAGAAGCTTTCACAAGTGACTTTTCAACTAGTAAACACTTTTTTAAAGAACTATTCTGACATTCCATTTCAAGAGATTTTTGTTCAAAAAAATCTACTGGTTTGTTTTCTAATTCTGAATGTTTTGTCTTCAGATGATGAGAAAGATTTGCTGGCTTCATGTTTTCAGTGGATAAGATTTCTCCACAAATGACACATTGTGGCCTTGGTGAACTTTCTTTTGATCCTGGACAGATAATAAAACCAACTTTTAAATATTCCGCATCATAAGTCTGGAAAAAACCTATTCTTTTTTTCTTTGCAGGTGGAGAATCAAGTTCCGCATCATTTTTCTCATTAGGCATAGGTAAATCTGAATGAAATATTTGAATCACTGTTATTTTTCAAGAAGAAATAAGCAATAGTCTTTATGTTTTCCCCCACACATTTAAAATATCTTTTTTTAGTATTTATATTTGTCAAAAGAATACACTAACGTTGAAACAGAAACCACAGAACTTTCATGGTGCCATTAAAAACAGAATTTCTCCTTGCCCAAAACTTGGCCACTGACTAGAGCAAAACTATAGGCTGCGGGACGTGAACTAGCAATGCTATATATATATATTCAACAGATTGCTGGAATTAGGGCTGAAGTCCACAGGATGCATCTAGTTAAGAATAAATTAATTTACTTTTTTAAATTTCAGAAAAAAGAAAACAAATGTTTAAAAAGTTAACATTTGGTGAATCTAGCTGTAGAATATATTAATGTTCATTGTGCCATATTTTCAATCATTCTGAACTTTGAAATTTCTCCAAATTAAAGTTGAAGAAAAAAAAAGGTTAATTAGTAGTTTTAATACCCAATGTATGAGGGTAAAGAGAAATGAGTGTTCTCAAACACTGATGTAATTTTTCAGTTTTGCAACACATATCAAAAAGCCTTAAAAATCTATGATAGCTTTTGAATCTGAAATTCTACTACTTAGGATTTATCCTAAAGACCTAATTAGACAAGTGAACAAAGATTCATTTACACAACTTAACTCAATACTGTTTACAATATTAAGCAACTAAAAGCGATCCAAGTGTCAATCTTAGGGGGATGGATAGGTACATACATTGGAATCTATGCATCCATTGAGAATCTCAATGTATATTTAAATTTATATTGACATGGAGTATTTCTGATGAGCAATGTCAAAGGAAAAAGTTCACAACAGTACATCTTAAACAATCCAGTATTTAATCTAGAAATTTTTGAAAAATGTATAAGCACACACATACCCACACATACAGATGTCCACAGATCTTTTACTACCTTCCACATGTGAATGTATATAGAATATAAATTCATGTACACAGAGTATATCATTTTAACAGGAATATACAACAATCAAATTTACTTTGGAAGGAAAACAGGATTCTCCTTGACTCCTACTAAAAGAAATGCACCCTACATAAAAACTCAAGATTACTTGTTGACAGATTATACTTTTAAATAAACTACATATATTCTGTGTAGTAAAATTATCATTAAAAACAAAAATCAAAAAATGCTTTGGGCAGAGTAGGCTATGTAAGTAATTGAAAACATGAGGGTAGTGGCAGTTAACATGGATTGGGGCAGCAATAGTTTACAGCCTTTCCAAATATGAATTCAAGTCATTTTCCTGATCACCAACACCTCAGACACACAGTTATATTTTTAGTAAATGACAAATTAATTCACATTGTTTTTAAAAAGAAAGAAGAACTACAGTTAAATCATTAACTCTTTTAAAGAAATTTGTATCTTAATAGTTATAATAGTTTGTACATTTGAAAAACAGCAGTGCACAGAGATGTCTGTCCACATAATGCTGTGTGTGCAGATGGATTCAATTTAGTAGTTATTGGTGTTAATGACAATAATTACAAAAGGAATAAATCAGATGTTCAAAGGATGTGATGCAAGGATGAATGTTTTCCCGTTTAAGAAATGGTATATGATTTTCTTTGCCTTTCTTAAAAAAAACAAAAACAAAAC